GATGTTTTTCAAATATTATATTTACCACAAACATAGCAGAAACCATCTGGATTAAGCACACAACATTTTCATAACGAAGCAATATCGAAAACACCAACAAAATATTTTTTTTTGTTCAATTAAATCAAAAATCTAAGTAAAAATATTAAATGAGGGTAGATAGCTATAACTTAAAAACAAAAGCTGTTGGAGAAAAACTGTTGCCATATTTAAAAAATATGCGTCAATTTGAGATAGAAACAGAAAAAAAATCACAGGAAACAAACAATTTTATTTTTTTTGGTGACCAGTGTTATAATCAGGCCATTGTCTCCACTGCAGGAGCACGACCCTTTCTAATTTAGGCACAGTTTAAGCTAGTTTTTGACCATGACTTCGCCCGCTTGAATTTTGATCTGTCAAAGAAATATTTAAGTAACTAATTACTTCTCTAATAAAAACTTTTTTTACTAACAGATACTTCTCTAACAGGTCTTCTTGGCGGGAAAGTGAAACGTCATTTTAGCTGTTTTATTTTCAAAAATGTATATTAGCCAAATTATTAACTAATTTGAATTAATGTTGGTATCTGGGGGCACGGCAGTGCCCCCGCCAAGTCGAGCGCGAAGCAAACACTGCCGTACCATCTTTACTGGAACCATTTCGCCGCATTTTCAGGCGCCTATTTGAGAACCTCTGGATAAGACCAGAACGTAGAAATTTTCGTCATCTAGTAAGCTATAATCACATACTTAAAATCCAAAATTTCAAGTCTGTAGGTCATTTAGTTCCGAAGTTAAGCGACAGCAAAGTTTCGCATTTATGACACTCACTCACTCACTCATTGATGATCATCAAAATGGAACTAGTACTTCCCATAAACTCAGAGAGCTGAAATTTGGTACAGAGTTAGGGTTTAATGGCCACTTAAAGGGAAAACTATAAAAACTAGTAAAATCGAAGATCTGGAGTAACACCACATTCACTACTAGCGCTATACCGACACCGTGGTGTTTGCCTGTACCGCTCACCGCTAGATGGCGCTAGCACTTTGAGCGTCGATTTTCTGCACCGTGGTGTCCAGATTTTTTTCTTTTCTAGACCCCCCCGTCGATTAAGTTGAATGAACTTTAATGTTGTGTAATTTTCATTTCGTTGATTTCCTTTATTATATCGTAAAGTTAGCTAAGGTCCATTTTAAAGGTCGTTGAGTTTATTTGTGTTTAATATCGTAAAAAAATGACAATAATATTATAAGGCGACGACGTTAAATAATTATGCCACTTTCTACAAAAAGAAGTGAAATCCCACCAAAAACATTCTGTAAAAAACTAGCCAAGTCTCGATGGAGCTGCTTGTTTATCTCTAAAAAGTAATGAAATCTAGACAAAGTCGTGCCAAGTCTATGGTTCCTTACTGCGATTTCTTTATTATTATAGTTAATGTTGTGTGACTTGGCCGTTGAACAATCTTTATTAAGATAATCATACAAAAGTATTATTGAAATACCCAGCTTTATTAAGCCTACATTGACTTGATTTTACACCATAAAAGAATATTTAGACGATAAAATTCATTAGCAATGTACCTAAACTATAATTTTCTATCTATGATAAAAAGAAGCCTCCTTCTCTTATAATTTTTTAGTTTGCAGCGCCCAACAGGGTCCTTAATGATCTCCAAATATAACTATGTAACAACTAAATGTACTATTAAGGAAGCAATAAACGTATTGAGTATTGAGTATTGACTGGTTATTGAATCAACGTTTTCAAAGTGCAATTTTCCATCGTCAATGGGTAGCGGTTCTGGCGACAGATTGGTGCAATGGTGTCATGGAGCACCTGGTTTTGTACCCTTCAACGGCCAAGTCACACAACATTAACTATAATAATAAAGAAATCGCAGTAAGGAACCATAGACTTGGCACGACTTTGTCTAGATTTCATTACTTTTTAGAGATAAACAAGCAGCTCCATCGAGACTTGGCTAGTTTTTTACAGAATGTTTTTGGTGGGATAATAATTTATTCATTGTGTGAAACAGTGCAACATCATTTTTCAAGTTCTCTCAAGAAGTCCGCGTGATGTACCGGTAAGGTAAGGTATAAGAATATTATTATACTGAAACTCAAGTAGGATAATTAATTTTATTGAAATAAACTTAAACTATTTTTTTTTTCAAACTTTCTTTCTAGCAAACCGCGCGTCATTGCAAAACGTAATTAGTTTTAGATAGCGCCATAATTTGACACCAGGGGGCGTAATGCAATTAGATAAGTTATCTGTGCACGTGCAGGGGCGGCCATGTTTTTATTATTTGACGAAAGTGTTGTACGCCATTAATGTCGACAGTTGACTTCGAAAAATAGTCCACAATATCGATGGTATCGACAATTTTCATTATTCATGAAAGGTAAAACTGACGATAAATTAGTTATTTTGGATACTCGGTATTGGTACTATTGTTAGGTAGGTAACTACTTATTAAAATTTGTGATATGCGTAACTGAATACCTACACAGTATTTACTAATTTATTTTAATAAACGGACCTATTTATAAATCCAAAAGTATTTACAAATCGATATTCGGCTAAGAAGTAATAGTATTCGTATTGAATTATTTATTCTTCATACAAATAGATCGAAATAATTATCGATAGTATTATTATAAGTTATCCATACTATCGATAATTTCTTATTTCTTTGATTGCTATTATTGTACTGTTTTTCTATACCACAAAGTTTCGACAGACTACCTACTTGTCGATATTTTATACTAATGTTTGCAAGCACATCTCTTTTTCCAATTGCAATGGGGCTAGACAAGCGGCAGACCTCCCAAATCATATTGTTTTGATATTATTGGCGATAACACAGGATTACACTTAGCTAAGTATCATTATTTAATTTTCTTTATTATGGAAAACAATAACAAACCATTCTTTTGGAGGGTGGTCAGTTCAACAAAATCCGCACTCCGCATGGTGACGTACTATTACCCGTTCGCGCTAAGTTTGCCGGTCCGTGGAATGCGCGTCCCCTCTTTCAACCGCGATTAAACGCAATTAATGTGTCTTATTTTACACAAAAACACAATTTTTATCAACAATAATAAATAAAAAATATTTTAAATATAGTTTGTTAAAGTTATAGACGCTTCCTTTCGAGTGACGTCATATCGCCAGTGGCAAACTTAAAGGGCACGGATAGTCCATACTTATTTTGTACTCTTCTTACGGCGCAGTTACACTATGCAGGAAATTGACCGAGACGAATACCGAAGTATAGGCGACCCACTCTGAAAAATGCGTGCTTACTCTAAAGCCTTTAGATAGATTCTAGATAATTGTCTCGACCATAGAAAGTGTATCTGCGCCATTACTACCGTTGCAAGAAAATTGCTCACGTACTGATAATATTTTAACCCAGGATCCTATGATTAGTTATTTTCCCCCGGGACAAACTTGACCTTCACTGGTTGGGTTATTGGCGGTCAAGCTGTAGATTCTGGCTACACAGGAGTCAGCGGTGAGAACGAGAGATGGGAATAGTCCCCTTACTGAAATATTTTGACTAAGGCTGAGTTGTACCACCCGAATTTGACTGTAACTATGACGATAACCGGTGTTTTTTGTATGGAGTTTGACAGATATTTGACGTTTGTCTCAGTTAAAGTAAGATGGTGCAACCCAGCCTTAGTATACGAACTTTTTTTAGACTTCTTGGCGGGAAAGTGAAGTGTCATGTCAGTTAAATTTTATTTTCCAAAGTGTCAAAACTAATAATGTGCATTATTAGTGGATTTTAACCATTATAGTAAAGTGTTCGTAAACGTGCATGATTGTAGGTAAATGAAATAATAACTATACGGTGCTTCATCACTGAAAACCAGCGTCGTGGCCTTCCTCACCGGGGGCCACGGCATATGCTGAGTGGGGTCCCATTGCGATGGGCATCGCTATGCGACAGGGTGGCACTGCTTAGTTTACACTTGCTCTTTCATTGTATGTTTTATGTCACCTCTGTCTTATTTGCTTTTTTTTTTATTTGATCTTTATTACCTCCTAGTTATTTAAAGTAAAAGTTGCTACTTTAATGGAAAGGTAAAAACTTTAAGGCTGAGTTGCACCATCTTATTTTGACTTTAACAAACGTCAAAAAAGCTGTCAAACTCTATATAAAAGGCACCGGTTATTGTTAAACTTACGGTCAAAGTAAGTTGGTGCAACTCTCAACCTTAGCTTTTTGATTGTTATGTATTTTATGTAATTAGGTAATTGTTGATTTTAAAGCTGTTTGTTTTTCAAAAATAACTGTCACCTCCCTAGGTTGCCTGGAAGAGATAGCTTCATATCGATAAGATCGCCTAAATTGTGTAAGTATTTATATCTTTTCGTGTTTTGTGTGGTGTACAATTTATGGCTGAGTTACACCACCTAACTTTGACCGTAATGAGGGCTATCGTTTTTATACTTAACAGTTGGCACCCCTAGCGATTGACAGGACCTTACTCTACAGTGGCGCCATCTTGATGAGTGCAAATGCGATACTCCTCCTACCACTTTAGCGCTCACCAGTTGGTGCCACTGTCTTCGCTACTAGCAAGTGACAGGACCTTACTCTACAGTGGCGCAAACTGGTGAGCGCTAAAACGATAGCCCTCATTGTAACGTTAACCGGTGTATTTTGTATGGGGTTTGAGAGATATTTGACGTTAGTCAAAGTTAAAGTAAGATGGTGCAACCCAGCCTATGTGTTTTTTATCTATAACTTAACTTCTGCCCGCGGCTTGACCAGCGATGATGCAGTTTTACTTATGTAAGGATAGGATAGGATAATATTAGGTATATTTGTACTTAGTAGAATAGAAACAAAAAAACATTTGAATTTGCATTTATTAATATTAAAAAAAACGGTAAATAATTTCACAAAAACGTTTTAGAATAAAGGAAACTTAAAAAAATCATGATAATCTGCTGAAATCTTCGCTTAGGTCGTTGATCGGAAAGTTATTTAGTTTAGTCGTATTCTTCAAAGGTGGCGCTTTGTTGCGCGGCCGCGGAGTGAGACTCGGTCACAGTCGCGCTTGAGTAGTGGGACTGAGAGCTGGAAGCTGACGCTTGTTCTTGCTTCTTGTAGCTTCCATCGGCGCTTTCGAAGCTGTCGTAACTGCTAGCGGCCTGCGCAGCCTTCGATGAATCGTAACCAGCAGTGTGGATCTGCTCGTCACTGCTATTCGACTGTTGACTGCTGTCGCGTCTGCCAGCAGCATTCACTTCGTGCTGGTCAGCGCTTGCTTCCTGCTGACTCGCGTTGTACGTCGAACCGTCGTTGTATTGGTAATTCGCTCTATTGCTAGCGGCCTGGTTACTGCCCGAGTACGATCCAGATGCGTCTGACCTCTTCTCGGTACTGCTAGCCTTTTGCTGGTCGTTTGAGAAATTGCCCTGGCAGTTTGAGACGTGCTTGCTTCCACTTGCGGCCTGTTGCGTGTTTTCGAAACTAGACCCATCGGCTGACTGCCCTCTTTGCGCGCTACTAGCCGCTTGGTTGTCCGCATCGTATGTGCCCGAAGCGTCCGAACTGTGAACCTGGTTGCTCGCCGCTTGGTTATCCTCCTCGTACTGCCCTGATGCGTTCTTGATCTTCTTGTTTCCACTCGCGGCCTGTCTGCGTTCCTGGTACTTGCTTCCGTCGTTCAGTTCGACGCTCTTGTCACTGCTAGCCTCCTGGTGGCTATCTTCGTACGAGCCATACTTGTCAACCCTCTTCGTATTGTCGCTACTTGCCTGTTGATCGTTACTAAAAGTACCGGCAGAGTTTACTGTCTTTTCGCTGGCGCTAGCGCTCTGTTGGCTCTTGTCTAGGGCATCCCCGTTAGCACCTCTGTATTTTTCATCGCTGCTAGCAGCCTGGTGATTCACTGAGTGCGATCCGTGACTATCTTCGCTGTACTGAGCGTCACTCTGAGCTTGCTGACTGGCTTCGTGAGTGCCTTTAGCTGTCACAGATTTCGAGTTAGAGCTGGCCGCTTGCTGGCTAGCGTTGTACTTGCTTCCGTCGGCCTTTTCGATGCTTTGGTCGCTGCTTTGATTTTGCTGGCTGGCTTCGTAGCTGGTGCCGTCGTTGTTTTTGATTTTCTGATCACTGCTGGACCCTTGAGCGTTGTCTGAATAGGATCCGGAGCTGTCTGTCCTTGAGTGCTGGCTGCTGGCAGCTTGCTGACTGCTGTCTGAGCTTCCGCAGGCGGTGTTAGCTGTTTGCCGACTGCTAGCAGCTTGATGACTGGTCTTTTCTGTTGAATCTTTGTCTGTGACTGTCAAATCGTCGCTGGCGGCTTGAGAGTCGTTGGTGAAAGTGCCGTCCTTGTTTTTGATTTTCTCTTCGCTGCTGGCCGCTTGGTTGCTGCCTTTCTTGTGAACATCACCTTTCTGCGATTCTAGGGTGCTTTCGGCGCTCTTAGCGTTGACAGATCTTGATCCACTGGCGTCAGAAATTTCGCTGTTTGATTCGTTGCTTTGGCTGGTTGTCTTCTTGTAGTTCTTTTTGGTTGGATTTGGGTTGGGCCCGACGCCTCCCACTTGGCCCACTTGGCCCACGGCTCCTGGTTCGGCCACGGCGCCTGGTGCGGCGGTGCCAGCTGCGCTGCCTGGTGCTGCTACGCCACCAGGGGCGCCTGGGGTGGCCGTGCTACCTGGTGAGCCCGGCTTTCCCGGCTCACCTGGGTTTCCTGGTGACGCTGTCTCGCCTGGTGTGCCTGTTTCACCTGGTTTACCAGGCTTTCCTGGGCCACCTGGAGATCCTGGGTTTCCTGGGTTTCCTGGTGACCCTGGGTTTCCTGGTGACCCTGGGTTTCCTGGTGATCCTGGGTTTCCTGGTGATCCTGCTGTTCCTGGAGCACCTGGGATTCCAGGTGACCCACATGGTTTTCCACTGCCGCCTGGCTGTCCTGGGCCTCCTGGGCCTCCTGGTGAGCCTGGTTGGCCACCATTTCCTGGTGAGCCTGGTTGGCCACCATTTCCTGGTAAGCCTGGAGTTCCTGGGCCACTTGGTTGGCCACCAGTTCCTGGGCTTCCTGGTGTTCCTGGTGTTCCTGGTGTGCCTGGTACTCCTGATCCTCCGGGCGTTCCTGAGCCACCTGGTACCCCTGGCACTCCTGGCGAACCTGGCTTGCCTTTGCATGGTTTATTTCCTGGGCTTCCTGGAGTTCCTGGGTTTCCTGGTGTTCCTGGTTCTCCTGGTACGCCTGGTGAGCCTGGTTGGCCACCATTTCCTGGTGAGCCTGGTTGGCCACCAGTTCCTGGTGAGCCTGGTTGGCCACCATTTCCTGGTGAGCCTGGATGGCCACCATTTCCTGGTAAGCCTGGAGTTCCTGGGCCACTTGGTTGGCCACCAGTTCCTGGGGTTCCTGGTGTTCCTGGTGTTCCTGGTGTGCCTGGTACTCCTGATCCTCCGGGCGTTCCTGAGCCACCTGGTACCCCTGGCACTCCTGGCGAACCTGGCTTGCCTTTGCATGGTTTATTTCCTGGGCTTCCTGGAGTTCCTGGGTTTCCTGGTGTTCCTGGTTCTCCTGGTACGCCTGGTGAGCCTGGTTGGCCACCATTTCCTGGTGAGCCTGGTTGGCCACCAGTTCCTGGTGAGCCTGGTTGGCCACCATTTCCTGGTGAGCCTGGATGGCCACCATTTCCTGGTAAGCCTGGAGTTCCTGGGCCACTTGGTTGGCCACCAGTTCCTGGGCTTCCTGGTGTTCCTGGTGTTCCTGGTGTGCCTGGTACTCCTGATCCTCCGGGTGTTCCTGAGCCACCTGGTACCCCTGGCACTCCTGATCCTCCTGGTGTGCCTGGTACACCTGGCACTCCTGGTCCTCCTGATGAACCTGGCGAACCTGGCTTGCCTTTGCATGGCTTATTTCCTGGGCTTCCTGGTATTCCTGGACCGTTTGGTGTACCTGGCTCTCCATTGGATCCTGGGCCTCCTGGTTCTCCGTTAGATCCTGGGCCTCCTGGTGATCCTGGTTCTCCGTTAGATCCTGGGCCTCCTGGTGAGCCTGGTTCTCCGTTAGAACCTGGGCCTCCTGGTGAGCCTGGTTGGCCACCATTTCCTGGTAAGCCTGGAGTTCCTGGGACACTTGGTTGGCCACCAGTTCCTGGTGTTCCTGGTGTTCCTGGTGTGCCTGGTACTCCGGGTGTTCCTGAGCCACCTGGTACCCCTGGCACTCCTGATCCTCCTGGTGTGCCTGGTACACCTGGCACTCCTGGTCCTCCTGATGAACCTGGCTCCTGGGCCTCCTGGTGCTCCTGGGCCTCCTGGACCACTTGGTGTTCCTGGCTCTCCATTAGATCCTGGGCCTCCTGGTGCTCCTGGGCCTCCTGGACCACTTGGTGTTCCTGGCTCTCCGTTAGATCCTGGGCTTCCTGGCGAACCTGGCTTGCCTTTGCATGGTTTATTTCCTGGACTTCCTGGAGTTCCTGGGTTTCCTGGTGTTCCTGGTTCTCCTGGTACGCCTGGTGAGCCTGGTTCTCCGTTAGATCCTGGTCCTCCTGGTTTTCCTGGGCCGGCAGGCACTCCAGGTGAAGGTCCACCTGGTTGGCCTGGATGGCCTGGTGTGCCTGGTATTCCTGGGCCGTCTGGCACTCCTGATCCTCCTGGGCCTCCTGGTGCTCCTGGGCCTCCTGGACCACTTGGTGTTCCTGGCTCTCCATTAGATCCTGGGCCTCCTGGACCACTTGGTGTTCCTGGCTCTCCAGTAGATCCTGGGCCTCCTGGTGCTCCTGGGCCTCCTGGACCACTTGGTGTTCCTGGCTCTCCATTAGATCCTGGGCCTCCTGGTGCTCCTGGGCCTCCTGGACCACTTGGTGTTCCTGGCTCTCCGTTAGATCCTGGGCTTCCTGGCGAACCTGGCTTGCCTTTGCATGGTTTATTTCCTGGACTTCCTGGAGTTCCTGGGTTTCCTGGTGTTCCTGGTTCTCCTGGTACGCCTGGTGAGCCTGGTTCTCCGTTAGATCCTGGTCCTCCTGGTTTTCCTGGGCCGGCAGGCACTCCAGGTGAAGGTCCACCTGGTTGGCCTGGATGGCCTGGTGTGCCTGGTATTCCTGGGCCGTCTGGCACTCCTGATCCTCCTGGGCCTCCTGGTGCTCCTGGGCCTCCTGGACCACTTGGTGTTCCTGGCTCTCCATTAGATCCTGGGCCTCCTGGACCACTTGGTGTTCCTGGCTCTCCATTAGATCCTGGGCCTCCTGGACCACTTGGTGTTCCTGGCTCTCCATTAGATCCTGGGCCTCCTGGTGCTCCTGGGCCTCCTGGACCACTTGGTGTTCCTGGCTCTCCATTAGATCCTGGGCCTCCTGGTGCTCCTGGGCCTCCTGGACCACTTGGTGTTCCTGGTTCTGCTGGTCCTGCTGGGTGGCCTGTTCCTGGTGATCCTGGTCCTCCTGGTACTATTGGTTTTCCTGGGCCACCTGGTGCTCCTGGACCACCTGGTCCTCCTGGCCCTCCTGGTCCTCCTGGCGTTCCTGGGCTGCCTGGTCCTCCTGGTCCACTTGGAGCACCTGGGCCTGGCTTACCATGGCAAGGTTTATGGTGGTCTGGCTTGCCTGGTTTGCCACCTGGCTTGCCTGGTTTGCCACCTGGCTTGCCTGGTTTGCCACCTGGTCCTCCTGGTCCTCCTGGTGCTCCTGGTGTTCCTGGTGAGCCTGGTGTTCCTGGTGAGCCTGGTTTTCCTGGTCCTCCTGGTGTTCCTGGACCACCTGGACCTCCTGGCCCTCCTGGTCCTCCTGGCGTTCCTGGGCTGCCTGGTCCTCCTGGTCCACCTGGAGCACCTGGGCTTGGCTTACCATGGCATGGTTTACGGTGGTCTGGCTTGCCTGGTTTGCCACCTGGCTTGCCTGGTTTGCCACCTGGTCCTCCTGGTCCTCCTGGCCCTCCTGGTCCTCCTGGTGTTCCTGGTGAGCCTGGTGTTCCTGGTAAGCCTGGTGATCCTGGATGACTACCTGATCCTGGTGTTCCTGGGCCACCCGGTCCACCTGGTGCTCCTGGTCCTCCTGGCGTTCCTGGGCTGCCTGGTGCTCCTGGTCCACCGGGTTTGTTTCCCTTGCATGGTCTCTTTCCACCCTTACGACGGCGGTTTGACTTCTTCGAAGACTCACTTTGGCTTGAGCTACTCTCGTTTTGGCTGGACTCGCTCTCATCGACTTCCGTAGAAGATTCCTCATCTCCGTTCTTCCTCTTAATCTTTACATTCTTTTCGTTCTTCGATCTGGACTTCTTTCCAGACTTTCTACTTTCCTCGTTACTCTCTTGTTCCGAAGTGCTAACTGAGTCACCGTTTTTGCTGACAGACTTAGATTTCTTAGATTTCTTGTTCGATTCGCTGTTCGATGAATCCTCTCGTTCGTTCTTCGAGACCACACTTTCGCTTTCGCCCTTAGAGCCCTTCTTTATAGATTTGCTCGACTTCGAACGCTTGGAATTAGCTGAATCGGATTTAGAAGACTCGTTCTCGCTGGATTCACTCTTCTCAGATTTGATCAGTTTACCAGATCGGTCGACTGACTGTTCTTCACGAGAATTCTTACGGTTGGAGTTTTTGGAGGCTGATTTGCGCTGTTCTTCAGCATTTTCGGATTCCTCTGAAATGTTAGAACCTGATTTTTTAATGGATTTCTTGCTTGATTTACGAGACTCTTCGTTTTGGTTGGAAGATTCATCTGAGCTCTCGGACTTTCGGACCTTCTTGCTTCCGTTACGGGAGTTCTCTGATTCTTCTACAGTTTTCTGTTGGCTCGCCTGTTTGGATTGCGACTTCCTGGAATTTTCCGCCGACTCTTCGGTTTCGCTGACGTTGGAACCAGACTTTCTGGAAGATTTTTTAGACGATTTGCTGTTGTTCTCAGATTCGTTAGAAGACTGTTTTGAGTTGCTCTTCTCGGTACTGGACTTAGAGCCGCCGCCGCCAGATTTCTTCACAGTTTTAGAAGCAGAGTTCTCGCTAGATTGGTTCTTGCTAGAAGATGAATCGGATGATTCACTTGACTCAGAGGTTTGGACGCCGCCCAGATTTCTTACCACTGAAAAAGAATAATGTGCTTTAGTAAAAAAGAAAGGACAAGTGAAAGAAAGAAAGATAGAAAGAAAGATACATTTATTACAGTGGACATCACACAAATACAGGCAATTACATAGACATGACAGTGGCACATAATAATAAAAGAAGAAAAAATAAAAACAAGAGTAAACTGAGCAGTGCCACCCATTCACCAACCAGATGCCCACTGCAACGGGACCCCACTCAGCATATGCCGTGGCCCACGGTGACGAAGGCCACGGCGCTGGTTTTCAGTGTGCCCCATGCCGAGTGAGGGTCACGGACCATTGGTAAAATAAAAAAAANGCCACGGCGCTGGTTTTCAGTGTGCCCCATGCCGAGTGAGGGTCACGGACCATTGGTAAAATAAAAAAAAATAAAAAAGCTGCATAAAATTGTCTAGATAAACATACATAAATAGTAATATTAGTGCACAGATAAATACAAAAGGCGGAAAATCGGTAAGGATGATATGACTACGTTCATTAAGAATACTAATGAAAAGAATACTAATAAAAAGATAAAACTGTTTGTATAGGTGCGAGTCGGACTTGCGCACCGAGGGTTCCTTATAAACGTAGGTATTTAAATAGTTTATAGAAAGAAAGAAAGCGCTGACAAACGGTAAGTCTTAATAGGATCCCACAAGGTGGACCGACCACCTCATAAAGGTAGCAAGAAGGCGCTTGATGCAGGCCGCTACGAATCGGTCATTATAGAAATCATTGGGGAGGCCTATGTTCAGCAGTGGACGTCCTATGCCTGAAATAATGATGAAGAATAGGGTTATAAACTGACCTGAGCTCTTCTCAGATTTGGAAGCTGCTTGCTGAGCTTGCTGGCTCAGTGACGAAGAAGAACTGCTTTCTTCAGAAACCTCGCCGCCTGCAGACTTCACAATTTTCTTGGAGAGCTGCTGGGCTGCCTGTGAGGCCTGGGACGCAGACTGCGCCGCCTTTTGAGCAGTTGCGACGACCGTTGCAACTGTGGATGGAGAAAGTTTGTTTACTTTGCTGAGTTGCACCACTTAACTTTTAACTTTAACCGTAACTACACTCGACATCAAATAAATCGCACTTCCCGCGAAAAGCACTTTCAAGCGTATGCGGGATGCATGTTACGCAAAATTCGGCGCAACCACGACTGGCTCCCCGCTAATCCCCGCTAAATTTTGTCAGTGTGTGCGTGCGCGCCGCATACGTGTTGGCGCGCTCACATACAAACCGCGCCCGTGCGTTTCTATGAAGATGACCTACTCATTTGTATTTACTCTGCTTATGATAAAGGTTTACCTCCATCTTTTATGATGGAGCTGGAAGATGAACTGGAGGATGAGCTGGATTCGCTGCTGCTGCTGCTTGAGGATCCGAAGCTCTCATACTCGTACTCGACGTCAGGGTCTGAAATATAATTAAAGTGTCAGAAAAAAAAGGGATTTTATAACCCTACTTGCAAAGGCTAGTTTCCTAAAAAATAACTTTTAGGCCCAGAACAGATGGTGAAACGAAACTGGGCTTTAGCGATCGCCATTTTGTTTAAAAGCGCTTTCAAGCGCTATTTTCTGCTGATTTCCCATTGTTTATTTGGCACCAACAAATAAATACTTAAAAAACTAATGAATTGCAACTTAATAGAACTTAACTAAATAGTTAATGAATGCTTAAAATGATAAGTAAATTAATAAAATTGATACTTACACGGTAGCCCATTAACGGCTACAACGGCCTGGAAAAGGTGAAAAGAAATTATAATTAATAAGAATCAGTGAAAGACTACGAGACGTACTATTTCCAGGGGGCTGGGCAGAAACTACTTCTAATTATTGCCCTGATATTTTATATAAAAATCAGCTTTTATGGTATAACGTAAGCCTAACTTTTACGGTGGCTTTTTCTGGATATTCAATAGTCTGTAATAAGAATAGAAATGTGTAGAAGGGTACAAACAACTTAGTTGCTTTGGTAGACCAAAAAGGGCAGATAGACGTTGACGTACCCAGCTTGGCCCAGTTGGGCAATCTGGCCCTTAGGAGGGTGAGCAAAACTGTTCATGGGAAAGATCCCACGTTTGAACACTTAAGGACGCAATTAAGTGTTAAACGCAATACGCTTATAAGTCCTAAACGCAATTTTATTTACATCTTTTGTCTTTTGTGATGTCCATGGCAATAAATGTTTCTTTCTTTCTTACTTTGAATTTAAGATAGGTTTCTTACTCAAGTATCATTTCCAGGGAGCTTGGGAGGATATCCCTCCTCGTTTAAAGTGTGCCAAGTAACGTAAGATGGGAGCCCGTTAGAAGAGTCATTATGTGTCAAAAAATTAAGTTAAAGCCAGCACGGGACCCTTATCGTAAGGAAAGATAGGACCATAGACCCAGCATGGCCAAAAAGGGAAAATAGAGCTAACTTATGGCCTCTACCAGGAAGATAGGACTCCGACAGAAAATTGTAGTTTGGAGTCATGAGATGTGGTATGGAAAAAAAAAGGAATGATGATTCAGCTCATGGCTTCTACCGAATAGAAAAGTATAGAAGAGTAGTGAATCACATAGGAGTTTTTTTTATGCAGAACAAGGCAGGTATTTGACCACAATCGCACCTGATGTTAAGTGGGATGCAGTCTAGGATGGTACATATCTTGGTTGTAGAGTTGGTATGCCATATAGGGCAGATAAAAGTTGACGTCAGCTTCTGAGTCAGGGAGCAGGTAGTTTGGGCCTTGGGGACAAATCTGTTTAGGCGGGTTTAAAACACTTAAGAACGAAATTGAAAACTGTAGTTTGGAGTCTGGCGCTGTGGTGTGCTAAAAAAGTAATGAACAAAACGGTAAAAGTGTAGGTATAGAAGAGTAGCAGTAAAAGTTGTTTTGGTAGACCAAAAACGGTATAATACGTGGTCGTACCCAGTTCCTGAATCAAAGAAGGCAATATTGCCCTTGGGGGCTGGGCAAAACTGTTTTTAGGCTGAATCCCACGTTTAGACACTTATGGCAAGATAGTACCCAGGTAATTTGATCATAGGCATACCCCGCTTCTGAGTCAGAAGGGGCAATCTGGCCCTTGGGGGTGGGGAAAGCTGCTTTTATACAACTGAGATTAAAATGTCATTTCCATAATAAAGACAATTTAAGCCAGAGTTTAACTAGGGTGTAACTTTTATTAATAAGGCCCATGGGAAGATCCAAGTAATAGGATCATAGGCATACCCAGCTTCTGAATCAGGAGGGGAATTCTGTCCCTTGGGGGTGGGCAACTGTTTTTAGGCAGGGTCCTGCGTTTAGACCCTTAAAGAAAGATATGACCCAGGTAATAGGATCAGCTTCTGAATCAGGAGGGGAATTCTGGCCCTTGGGGGTGGGCAAAGATAAAACCTGTAAAAACAAAGGGTAATCAATTTTAAACTCACCGCTAAAGCCACAAGAGCTATGCCGAACCTCATTGTAGCCAGTTTGACTTTGAAACCGCCCCGACGGGTTTTATATGAAATTGAAACAATAGGCTAATGAATAATTTGTTCAAACAGCTAATTACAGCAGCTGGACAAACAGAGTATTCAAGAATGCAGTCTGATGATCGGTGGTGGGTATCGGGGTCTCGTATATTTTATTTCATCATCATCATGGGGACAGCCAAGGGGGTTAGTGGGAGTCCCAGAACCCACCCACTGACAACCTTTTTTTTCCGTCGGGAAATGCTTTGACGATGGGGGCGGCCAGTGGATCATGTGGGGCTCTCCTAGCCAGAAGGGCGGGGCTTACCCACTAAACCCCGGTGGTGTCCACCGGAACCCAAAGAAACAGAGCCGCGAGTTAGGGAGCCTGGTAATCTGTAACACAGGTCTTACCTAATACGGACACCAGTCTCTCACAATATACATAGTTATTAAGTATTTTGATGTATTCATAACAGTATTTTGCAGTGACTATATTGTGAAAGAGAAATAAATAAGTAAACTTTATTATTTATTTATTTACTGTTCTAGCTCAGCCATTCGTCCGCAGCTCCACCTCAGGCTAGAACCCCCAATCTCCTCCTCCAGTTAAGTACCCACTAAAACCCATTGAGTTATAATGTAATTACTTCAATGCTAAAACCCGACGGTATTCTCTGTAGTCTAATGAAACGGAGCCGTGAAAAACTCACAAAACTCATTTATTTTTGCAAATAGGCTTTTAAAAAGCACTTGCACACGTCCCAGTATTAACCCTACCACTGCTTCGGGACAATAAATGGGCCAGTGCTGAGAAGAAGCAGTGAGTTACTGTCCTAACCTGGACATTCGTCCGTGGCTCTGTCTCAAGCTATGGTTCACTCTCTAGCGGTCAACCTTCAAATAGAAGGAAAGATCCTCTTAAGTCGTCTGCTAAAACAGTGTTCCGCAAACTTGTTAGGAAAACGAAATTTTTTGAAGGTACACCACTAATGAAAAATCAGTTTTTAAGTTTACCTTTATTAGTCTTATAGATCGTTTCATCCACGAAGACTCGCCCCACCAATTTTTGGTCGAGGGGTGCGGGGAGTTTGATCCGAGCAATCCGAGCGGCATTATTGTACCTAGTGTGCGTGTGCACTCATGGATAGTTTAACTCTCAAACATTATCGGAAGAATGGTGGAAACGGTGGGGCGCGTCTTCGTGGATGAAACGATCTAATATTCTAATACCCTTACTTACTTATTAAAAATAAGTTTATAAGATAACCTTACTGTTCCGAGGAACACCATCTAATGACCACGGTACACCAGTGTGCCGCGGTACACTCTTTGCGGAACACCCTTTGCGGAACACTGCGAGCTGTGCTAACACACGCACTGGACACTGTGCGCTGCCGCCTCGTAAGACAGCCGAGGTGCCCTTAGTTGGGGGCGCCACCTCCTGCATTGCATACCTACCTCTTTCGACGGGATGGGCCTCGTGGTCCCCGCTAATCCTGTAGCCCCCCATTAAGTGAGGGCGTGGTGGGTCCCGTGTGTAGGGCGGGGCGTCTGCGGAAGGCACCTTGGTCGTTTCTTTCTAGTACCCAAGGCGGCGACCACTAAGTATGCGGCAGATGGAACACCCCAGGTTTTTAGTGGGGTCGAGTCCCACATAACCTGCCACTACCGGTGGTACCAGGAAAATGGCCTATCCATACCGATAGGCCATTTTCCTGGGTAAAAGAAAAGTCTCGTATGGTTAAAAAAAAATCAAAATTATCTTTATTTGTATAGACTAATTAAATGAGTAGGTACTTACAAATCGTCAAATGCTCTTAAGGAGCCTATACATGTCTCATTCTTTTTTTGCCTTACCAGCGCTTCGAGACAAACATTTGGCAAGTGCTGAGAAGAAGCGCCGCAACAAACTCAGTCACCACTGTCTGCCGGTTTAAAAATATAAAAAATGGAAGTTACAATACATTCAGAAGCAAGTTGATTATGCCAATGCAGTTTGTCGCAAAACACTAAAAAACTGCCAGCAGATCTCTAATTAAAAAGACTATAGGTAGGTGCCTACCATAATTCCTCAACCGTCTTGCAGACTTGCTTGCGTATTATTTATTATAATGTACGCCATTAAACACAATAAATCATTATAATAAACTCATTATACGCTATTTAAACATTATAACCATTCAGTAGTTCCACCAAAAAATTTATAAGTGTACACAGATGGTGAGTGAAGTGTTAACTGTTCTGCAGTCATGTATTATGTTTGTCGTTTCTTATACAGGGTGTTAGGTAAATGGGTATATGAGCCGACACTAGCCCATGTTAACATGGGCATATAAATGGTATGGTGAAGTCAGAAATTTGATAACATCATTTTATTTTTTTTAATTTTCATACAAAATAAATTTGATGAAATCCGATTTGTATGAAAAATAAAATAATTAGGTAAAATGAAGATATCAATTTTCTGACTTCACCATACCATTTATATGACCATGTTAACATGGGCTAGTGTCGGCTCATATACCCATTTACCTAACACCCTGTATAAATGAAATGCTAAATAAGGTTATCTAATAATATAGAAATACTTAAAACATTTTGGACTCAGCATGGACCATTTTCAATTCACAAAAACAAAATAGGTACGTAGGTACGTTACCTGCTGCGTAGTATACGAATGTTGCTATACATCGGTCACCACAGACCATTGTTCAAATACTTATGAGTTTGTTAATCAACTATCACAAATGTTTAATAGTTAAACATTATACCTAACTGTGGTTAGAACATTTACTTAACGGAAATCAACGGCAACGATTCACTCGTGTTAGATTTTGCATTGTTGATGTAAATTTGACTCTTTCACAAAGCTTCTTTGAAGTAGGTATTTATTGCACTATCTTTTAAAACAAACGTCAAAAGTCTGTCGAACTGCATACAAAAATGCCGGTGCAAATCAAGTTGGGCTAATTTATCTTATGGCTTAAATTATCCATATTGACTATTATACTCATAGCTACCTAAATGAGTGTATTGTGTGGGAATCGAACCCGCGATCTCTAGCATAGTAGTCCGGTACGCGAAACACCAAGCCATGCAACTACTTTAGATGTTTGCAGCAAAAAATATAGTTTTATGAATCGAAATGTTTGTTTCTCAGTAGATTAAGATCTTCTTCTTATTCGTTTCAGGGATATAATGGATATCCGTAACCGTAACCGAAACTTTCGGATATCCGAAATAAAAAAATATCCGAAACCGTAACCGATTCAAGTTTCGGATAGTTTCGGATGTAGGCAGTTTAAATTGTTTTTTGTATAGCATTATATGGAATGGAAACGCATAACAGCCTGATTTACCTTTGTAATGCCATCTAGTTAGTATAAATTTTTATTTTTTTTATTACTTTTTATTCGATGTGAAGTATGCGGCCATGAATGAACCGTGTTGGACAACTATTGCAAATTGCATTCTAAAGCACAGATATCCGTAACCGAAACTTTCGGATACCTATCCGAAATAAAAAAATATCCGTAACCGTAACCGAAATCGGTATAATATTATTCCAATATCCGTAACCGAAACTACACATCCCTAATTCGTTTCGCTCTTGGCAGAGCGGTCGTGGTCACGTTGAGGCGTTGTTGTTAACATCGGTTGTAGAGGATACATCTCTTCTCTTCGCACGATCTCCCGCCATCACTCCCTGTTGGCAGACTAAAGGTTACGGAACTATTCCTACCTCTCGTTCCCACCACTGCAACTCCTGTGTAGCCAGGATCTACAGCTTGACCGCCATAAAAACCCAACCATTTAAAGTCATGTTTGTCCCGGGGGAAAGAAATTAATCAGAAGAACATAGGTAGGGGAGACTGGGTACGGTTGAAACAATTTTGCTTTTATTGTCTATAATTTTGTTGTTTAATAACCAAGTGACGACTAAGATACGTGAAATTGAAATTTGAAGTTTTAGCTATGATATGGCTGTATCATTATAGTTCCCGGGTTACTATTTTTGGAAATATACGGAATTTAAAAAAAAAGAAATTTTGTTTCAACCGTCCCCATGCCAGGGGCGGTTGAAACAGCGATTGGGGTCTGTTGAAATACATACAAATAATACAATCTATATATATAAAAGAAAGTCGTGTTAGTTACTTCGCTTATAACTCAAGAACGGCTGAACCGATTTAGCTGAAAATTGTCAGGGAGGTAGTTTAGAGCCAGGAGAAGGACATAGGATACTTTTTATCCCGTTATTTATTGCCATTAAGGCGGAACAAAGTTCGCCGGGTCAGCTAGTTACTAATAAAACGTGTGTTATGTATCATTAATACTACGAATATTAAAATTATGGTACCACATAACGACATTAATCAGTCTAAGTATTTAATATTTCTAAAACATTAATTAGCCTTTGATAAGTAGTAAAATTTAAAAAACTAACAGAAATATGATAAAATAAATGATATTTCCAAATCTAATAAACATTAATTATAAAATAATATTAACATTCTGAGTAAAGTTAACGAAAATCTTTTTTTTTTCAAACCATACTTTTCCGTCGCTTCCCGCAGTGAATCTCCAGCTTTTACCTCCTCTTATGCTTTACCAAGTCAATTTCCTCCCTGGAAATCTTCCTTACTCAAACTCTCGGCATTTACAAAAAATAAACATTAATACATTTTCTGTTTCAACCGTACCCAAAAAAAATGTTTCAACCGTCCCCAACCTCACTTTTGGTAAAATATACTTTATAGTTTCGAAACTAATGATCACACATTAAAAATAGTTACTGTCCCTTATTCTACAAGCTTCATTCAGTGGCGGATTTACAAATTTGCCGCTAGTAGGCCATTCAATTTTTGCCGCCCCTACCTACTGACTTTTGAAATTCAATACGTTAAGTTTAGATTGTGAACTTAATGATAGTTCTGTCAGTTAATAGATTATTATTTCAACCCGTTATGTACTGAAGAGTTTAATGTTGACCTAAAAACAGCAGTATGTACTAATCCTAAGGTGGGGAAAGGCATGACTTAAAAATACCTACACTATATGAACACAGACAAAATAATGTGTGGTCAGTAAACATTGTTTTTGGTAAATATTTTTATTGCACTTATCAGTTTAAAAACAATACAAACAATTTCTATTAAAATATAACATGTTAACAATCCAGTTAATGGTGACAGACAATGAGATCAAATAAGTTTTACATTATTTTCTTGCGAGATTTTAAATTTGCGAAATCATTAATTATATCGTCGTATAAAATCTTTTTCATAAGTTCTGACTCTATGCACAAAAGAGATAAAGCATCAAGCTTTTCTTGACCTCAAGTAAATCGTAGATAGTTTTTAACCCGTTTTAAGCAAGAAAAGCTTCTCACCTGAATAATTTGTCACCGGTGTGCACAGAGCCATGCGACGTGCTATCAGTGGCGGGGCAAGACCTAAATTTGATGTGGGCAAGACAGATTTCGCGAGGCCTTGTTCTGTGGCGACCTGAAGACGGATTTTATGAAATAATAAAAAAAACGGGTTAATGGTCTATTCATTGACAGTTTCTGATTTCTTGATTTAGTGATTATTTTTAAAGGAATATTGCGCCAAAGAACTTAATAAAAAAGTTCGTTTTAGACTTAATTTTGAGTCTGATTATGGCTGAATTTGTTTGGAAAAAAAATTATTTTTATTTTTAACTACATTGTTTAGCTATCAAGAATTTATATTTAATAGTCAATGTTTGCATTTATTGTCGTATTGTGATATTGTCATCTCCACCTTGTATACATTTTTTCAAAATTTTTGATGCGCGAGGCCCCTTGTACTGCGAGGCCGTAGGCGGTGGCCCACGTCGACTACGCCTTACTTAAGACCAAGGCTTGGTAATACAGAGTGGCCCAGAAGAAAATTCACTTTTGAAAATTCAAGGAAACGAAAACTGTTCTACATTTTTATAGAACTTTAACTATTGCAATTGAAAGAAAATTTTATGCAATTTATTTTTAAATTTACCTTTATTAAATTACATCGCCCAGGAGATTTCCTTGACGCTTACAACATTCGATCAACATAGTTACATCAAAATCTTGGAATGCGTTCGTCAGAATTACCTCGAAACCTATTTTCAATTTTTTGCCGAATGCTCAGCTTCAGTTGCTGCATGGTTGTTGGATTATAAAAGTATACTCTATTCTTAATGTAACACCACAAAAAATAATTTTCTGGAGTGAGATCTGGGCTTCCTGGTGGCCAGGAGATGTCACCCCTGCCTGAAATTATTTTTTTGTTGAAGTGTGACACGTAGCGTAGCCCCATCTTGATGAAACCAAGTGCTCCGGTCATAACCTTGCGAATCTTGTAGCTTTGAAATCAAAAAGCTTTTCAGCCTACCAGTATAGCGCTCTCAAAAATTAATCATCCTTTCAATGCAACAAACCAATTAAGCAGTGGTGAAATCTCACTGCCTCTAAGAAGCGCTAATCTCATTTCAGCAGACTTCTTTTTGTGGGGTTACCTTATGAGCAGAGTATACTCTAATAATCCAAAAACTCTGCAGCATTCATCCATCCTGAATACATTTTGAGGTAACTCTAAGGGCTCCTCAAAGCATAATTTCGCGCGCGACGCGGCGGCTGCGCGGCAGGTTGTGATAGGGATAGAGACATGCAATTTTTGGTTTTACAAAGGTAATACGATAGAAAATAATACAACGTAATAAAAACCACCGGTTATAGGGGCATTTTTTGGAGAAATTTATCAAATAATAAAAAAAACACGAATTTAAAAGCAGATTTTTTTCAAAAAGTATCATTTTTTATTATTTGTTGGCCTTTTTTGTGTATTTTATGTATTTTTTTAGGATCGCCTGTTATTTAGCATTATTACTGTTTTTATTTTATCAGGATATACCGCTTAGTTTAAAAGTTATTACGTTTTCTTTACAATAAGTAATTTGAAGAAAAAAAATTCTATAAAAAATTAAAAAAAAATCTCAAAAATTTTTTTACCTCTTTTTTGTCGATAAAAATAGGTCTAGTTTCATCTATTTTCATATGTACACTTTAACGTGACTCACACTGTATATAGATAGTTAACTAGTCCCGTTAACCCCTCGTGGACAGTAGTGGACACTCGTGGTAAACTAAATATGCTTGTGTTACGAGTGGGCTCACCACAATAGTCCAGCCGAACCCGTGTTCTTCGGATCACGAGTCGGACAGAGCCCCGATTATGGTACTTAATTTTTAACGTCTACAATACCGCGCTTCTTCGATTCTGCGATACGATTGGTCAAAACAGCTGACGTCAATTGTTTTGACCCCTTCACGTGCCTTCACCGTTTGGCTATCATCGCTTCTAGTTCTTCTAGATTAAAATAGGTAAGTAAAATAAAAACAATAAAACTTCATTTTCCAAATAAATATGCATTTAATACATCCCCATTAACGTTTAGAAATAAATTAAACACCACTATAAGAACGCAATAATAAATCTTAAAAATACCTATAATTTTATTAGATTTTTAATGACAAATTATAACTTAGGAAATCATGATTTTCACTTGTCAAAATAATTCTGTGAGTGATACGTGGCCTGCACAAGTGCACATTGTATAATTATCTATACTAATATTATAAATGCGAAAGTAACTCTGTCTGTCTGTCCGTCTCTCTTTCACGCCTAAACCACTGAACCGATTTTGATGAAATTTGGTATAGAGATAGTTTGAGTCCCGGGAAAGGACATAGGACAGTTTATATCCCGGTTTTTGAAACAGGGACGTGCGTGATAAAGTTTTTCTGTGACAGACAAAATTCAACGCGGGCGAAAAGCTAGTTTTTAAATAATTGCTTTGAAATTGAAAAAAGTTAGTCAACTGAATGAAAAATTGTGAAGTCATGTATTTTACGATTGGATTCGGATTTACAGCTTGCTTAAAAAAACCTTTTTGTAAGTAGTTACGTAATCTATTTGTTATTTTGTGCGTAAAAATACTTTGGGATTAACAAAACGGCAGTCTTGTAACGCCATCTATAGCGATATGTAGTAAACTCGCAATGCTATGCCAAGGTTTTCATAATTTTGGACGAGACAGCATTTAACTAAATAACCCTTTATGATATCATAAGCAATATAAGTGCTAATTTGCAATACAAAAATTGATACATTATTTTCATAAAATAGGCAAGCAACTAAACATAAAGATATGTATGATTATGATAAAAACAAGAACATTAATCTTTACTATCACCAAATAATTTAATCACCTTTATAAATAGGCCACGCCGAGTGATACAATTTATATCTAATCATATCATTTAATTAACACATACTTAACCTTTGATAAATAAACATTATTCTTGGGTCTTCTAAACATTATAAAACAACACACAAAACCTGATTCAATCAAGTCACATTCGATTCTGTTGTGATTGGTATTGGTATTAAATATTGAAATTAAACCAATAAAATGTCTCAATTTAAGCTTGAATTTGATTACATAATTTACATACATACTTAAATTACATAATTTAGTTCGTTATCTCGTCGTATCGTATAGTCTTATGAATCCATGCGCTCAACAATTAATAAAATTTTAGAACTCTAAAAAACACTCGAATTGAGAAACTCCTCCTTTTTTTTGAAGTCGGTTAAAAATTAAGGTTGCTTCAATATTGACAACAGTCACAGGACAGAATCTATGAGAGTCCCCGCAGACTAGACTTTATCGGCCGATAGTTTGGTCTTTACCTATTCGTAATAATACTTATGAAGAAAGTATTGATAGTATGAATGAGAAATCTGACGATACCAAATCACTATTTATGTGCGTTATAAACCCGATGATTTTGATGATAATACATTGTACAAAGAACGGACTTAACGCCAAAAGCATTCTCCGCCAGTCAACATTAAACATTTTAAACTATCGGTCGACAAAAAATCTGTAATATGCAAGGACTCAAGCTGATTTTGAATGTTCTTTTTAGCGTTGTTCTAAAACACTCCTTAAATATTATTTTTGGGACAAAAGATAGCCTCCCTAATGCGAAATATTGTAGGTATTGTAGGTTCTTCTCAAAATCCAAAAGACAGTTACTTTTGCGTTTACAATTAGAACAGAATAATAAAGACCTTGAATCTTGGACACGATTAAAAATGAACTTTGAAATGCCTATAAAAACTACACTAACTTTTTATTTTTGTCTTGATTGTCAATGAAAAAATATTCTTAGGAATAAGTACACTACTATTTTTTATTTGCTGATCATGATCATCAAAATAGATTCGCATGTAAATTAAATATTGTGCTTTTGGACCTTGTGCTATTTCGTACATTGTAGAGCTGATCCTTGAAGGTTCCTATGTCATCATCATCATTTCAGCCATAGGACGTCCACTGCTGAACATAGGCCTCTCCCAATGATTTCCACAATGGCCGGTTGGCGGCGGCCTGCATCCAGCGCCTTCCGGCTATCTTTATAAGTTCGTCGGTCCACCTTGTGGGTATTTCCTATGTAGATTGTAGTTATTTCGCTTCGTGATCGTAAAGGGATTTTAAAATTACAAGTGTTATGTTTTGCCACTTGTCTAGCAGGGCAGGAAGACGCTGGAAGCAGGCTGCTACCAACTGGCCATGGAAATAATTGGGGGAGTCCTATGTTTAGCAGTGGACGTCCTGTGGCTGAAATGATGATGACAATGAATTCTAATTCCTTCTTCAGAACATAGTGATGCCCCAATTTTGTATAGTTTTTAAGTTTTTTAAACAAAATCGTAAAGTCCGTATCTTGACATTCATTATTATAATCTTAGGTATAAATACATAAAATAGAGAGACAACTTAATAAATTATATTAAAAGCATCTGTAACTTTATTTTCAACAATATAAATAACAATTTACATCTTTTCCAGAAAGATCTAACGATAAAAGCCGAAATATATTAGTTCTATAATTAAATTTGTTAATTTAATGTTTATACATTATTCTTTTAAATATCATGCATTACATGGAATGTTTTATAGTAAATTTTAATCACATAGTATATTAATAAGCTTTATACATGATAATATTTTGTACATAAGAGTAGTGCCTAACTATTTTTCCCTCACAATGATTATTGATATCCTCTAATACATATAAAAAGGCTGTTGTAGTATTTCTAACCTATGACATGGTTCATATCCTAAAGGTCTAGGGTTTGACTCAGTTAGTACCTGAGGTATGGGACCGACACAGAAGAGGTGACATTGACATTGACATAACAGAGCATATAAATCTGAAGGCTCGCTGACGTTTGACCGTCACAAAATCACCCTCAGGCACTGACAGTATTAAGCGATAGCCCTATAATCTATCGTATAAATAGTACAAAAAGGAAATAATGTGATGCTAAACACAAACATAATACCACCTAACTTGAATACGTCTAAACCCCTACTGAATTATGTGCAAGACTTCCACTTTACGCAGTAATTGACAGTATATTACAAACATTACTGTGTTAACAGTGAGTACGCTAAACAACACACCGTTCCACAACACTTCAACGTCGAAAGTGGTTTCAAAAACCACTAAACTTAAAGGCTAGATTCGCTCGCAATATCTACCATTCTCACTTGTATTCTTGTAGACGAGGTAACCCAAAATGAGCGCTGCTACAGTCATGAATAAGGTCAAAAATTGCATCGTCTTCAACTTCCTCATATCACGATGGAGTATTTCGTAGTTTTGCTGCAAGTTGTTTAGTGCGTTCGTCACTGAATCTTGCTTTTCGTGCATTTTTCCATCGCTGATATTGCCATTTTTAGCAATTTCTTTCTCAGGGAACTGACATTTGAGACGGTACTCATCTACCTTGCTACCAGTCGAGTTTTGCCACACGTCGCTTAGTTCCTTTGGTGAAAGATCAGTTTTGGGTATCTGTACTGACATTACTAAGAATCTGTCTTTAGTTACTGTACGCAGATGGAAGCCGGGTTGTACAACGATTAATACAGTTTGGGATGCACCGCTAGGCAATGTACCAGAGCTGGGTCGTACACGGAACTTTTCAGGAGACGTTGTTCTGATTTTAAACGATATAGCGCTTTCATCCATATTGGTGATTACGAACTGGCCTGACATCTCTTCGTTGTCACTCTTGAATAAAATTGTATCGTTCGGAGAGAGCCTTAACATTTCTCCGAGAGAATGCTGACTGTCCCCTTGCTCGGCAAAGGTGACTTTCTTCGGTGTATGCTCTGACCCTGACCGATTCTCAGAGACGAACTCAAACGTATAATTATCTTTGCCGCCCCAACTGACTAACGCTTGTTCAGGCGGCACAATGTCTTTCAAAGTATCTTTATTACAGAATTTCATGATTTCCACAGCCTTCGGAGGCAGCAAAGACTTCACAATTTTAAACGCAGCATTCAAGACCCACGGCATTTGGAAAACGACAATATAATTTAGAAACAAAGGATAGTAAAGCTTGAAAAGGCTGATCATGTATTTTATTAACTCCATATCCATATTACTGAGACCACAACCATCCATATCAAAAAACAAGGTCACTCTTTTCCCATTTTCCTCTCTTTCTATCCTATCAAGCCAATAAATTAGCACTTTTTTGATCTCATCATAGTCTTTCTGGCCTTTGACATGCATTTTCAGCTTAATTATCAACAGCAGACACCCATCAATGTCTCTCCCATGTGGAAAGAGCAATCCCTCTTTAACATAGTCCATTCTGATCGAACTTTCGTTCAATTCGTTGGCGTTGACCGTTTTTCTCCAAACCAGGATGTTCCACAACATATCGACTGACATTTTGAGGTCATTCTCTTGCTGTACCAATATCCTGTTCAGGTATTTATCGTCTTTAATACGTTCCAAGTCCAAAGGGTGAAACTCCCCGGGAGGAGTCGGTATTCCCTCCTTCAATTTTGCTTCAAAAGCAGCTCTGAGGTCACTAGGATTCACCATTTTGGAGTTTAGTTATCACTGGGCGACTATTACATCAATGTAACGATTAGAACAAGCAAATTAGATCGAATTGATAAAGTAGGTAGGTACACAATGAACGGATGGACATGGATGGATGACAAATAGTTTTGACATTTTGATTAGACGGGGCAGTGTTGTTCCTGACAAATTTAGGGTTGCCGTATTCTAATTCTAAAATTGCCGGATTTTTAAGGAAAACTAAGAAAATTGCCGTATTGTATAAAATGTTTATTTGGAAGGTTTAAATTTAAAAAGATACAAGTGATGTATTATGTACTATATGCGTATACTACTTTTAAAGTTACTTATTTTATTATTCACTTTTTAAGGTTTTGAATAATTTAGTCCAAGAACCTACCCGAATAAAAGTGAAGAATCTACCAAAATGAGGAAAAACCGATTTTAGACATTAAAATCTCGGAGATATGGTTGCATTTTTGGCGTTTCTTTTCGTGGCGCTTCTACTTCATTTATGGTTTACAAGTTTTTGCGTTCCATTAGACGAAATATTTATTTTTTGTATACTAAAACTCATGAAAAACTCTACTTTACTCAATTGCCGTATATTTTGATACGGTAATCAAAGTGCTGCCGTATACCGTATTTATGGTGCCTAAGATGCCTGAATGCCGTATATTACGGCAATTGCCGTATCAAGAACAACACTGAGACGGGGTGGCAGGTACAGCAACTTGGTTTTCCCCAAAAAAAAAAAAAGTATATTAAGGCGATTGTTTTACTATTCACATTTCGGCAGTATTCCAGTAAAAAAGTTAATACATAAATGATTACATTTTATAATATAAAGCGTATTCCGAGGATTAGCTTATAAGTGATTATGTGAGAAGACACTTCTGGCATAGTCACACTTGGCGGCTTTCAAAATACCTACCCTTATTAGAAAACCAAACACTTTACTAACGTTACTTTTAAGATTATAAATTGTATCCTACTAACTACTATGAACTGTAAAATTGTTTGAAATAAACGTCATTATTACTATTATTATAAGTATGGATGGATTGGATCAATCAGTATGTCATAAAACAGTGTACTTTTCTCTCTTGTATAACAGGAATAAGAAAAGAATAAATCAGTGAAACAATAACAATACAAATTATATGCATCATGTTAAAAAAGAAAAAAGCTTAGAGCAGAAAGTCTGATTCAAAACACCCATGTTTATCCATAACTGAAGGGTAAAGTTCCTACAATGGCAACCCTAAATTTTGGGGGTGAGTGACATTTAAATGTCATTTAAAGTGGCTAAATGCCAGTGGGCCAAAGCGACTAACTGTTAATAAAAAATGATATCCTACTATCCTCCTACCCTCTAATCCATATCTGTGCTCCTACCCTACATCCGTTCTTGCATGAAAACTTGTTTAATGCTATTTTCTATTTTATTTAAATGTTGATACGACTCAAGTTACTTAAAAAAAAAGTCTATACTACCATCTACTAAATAGGCGCGTATCCAACCACGACCACTGCGATTGTGGGTTCAATTTTCGCTGAAGGAAATGAGTAATCTTTCGAGGGACTACTTATTAAAAATTAAAAGGCATTCTGATGTAAATTGTCTTTATTATGGCGTCAAACAACGAATTAAATAAGTATCCGAATATACACGTAAAATACAAAATATACAAATAAATACCTAACTATAATAGCACATTATGATCCCAATGATTATTTAGTAACAATAATTCGTTGAAAGCAAATTCATAGCAATGGGCTATTCGTTTGTATTCTTAACAGTTGGCACCACTGTCGAACACTCGTATTCACAAACGATGCTTACTTAAGTGAAGCTGCAAATCGAACGCACAGCGTTGAATAGAGCTCCGTCACCCATATTCACAAACTATGCTTACATAAGTGAAGCTGCAAATCGAACGCGCAGCGGTGAATAGCGCTCTGTGATTGGTTGGTGTGCCTGTGCGTCCACGCGCACTGTGAGACCTCATAGTAATGTTTGTAAATACGGGCGTTAGCGAGTGTCAGGACCTTACTCTTACAGTGGCGCCAACTGGTGAAGGCAAATACAAAGCTCTCATTCTTCTAACATACAAATTAGAATCGGGCCCATCTATCGGCCGACTAAAATCAGTGGTACTACCCGTTCGCGCTAAGTTTGCCGGTCCGTGGAATGCGCGTTCCCTCCTCCAACCGCGAATAAACGCAAATAATTAGTGATTAAACGCAATTGACTGTTTTATTTTATGCAAATACACAATTTTTATCAATATTAATAAATACAAAAAGTTAAGTTACCCTGTAACGCCCCTGGGTCTGCGGGTGTCTATGGGCGACGACGGTAATCACTTACCATCAGGTGATCCGTCTGCTCGTTTGCCTCCTATCACATAAAAAAAAAAATACAAATATTTTCAATATAGTTTGCTAAAGTTATAGACGCTTTCCTTCGAGTGACGTCATATCGCCAGCGGCAAACTTATCGCGAACGGATAGTATGCGCCTAGGCTAATTACACCTTATTATTATTTTTGAAAGATCTAAGAAAGAACGTTGTCCTAAAGAGGAATAAAATTTGTACTAAATAAATTATTGAACGATGGAAAAGTGCTTAAATAATAACTTTGAGCTGTCCCAAGCGTTGTGAAGTCATCATAGCCTCGACTCGACGTATTCAGGCTGAAAAAAGAAAATAATAATTAGTGAATTTAATAGAAACAAACAACAAGTGGACCGATGAACTGGTGCAGGTCGCGGGAAGCACTTGGATCCGGGCAGCGCGAGACTGTGGTAGAAATTCAGGAGGCCTTGTCCAGCAGTGGACGTGATTTGGCAGAAACAAACAAAAAAATAGGAATGAATGTAAGCACATGTTTCTATTTTTTCGTTCGTCTCAGTCACTATTTAACGCTTACGGTCTCCTATCGCGGTCGCTTGTCTCTGTCGCAACTCGTACCACAATCTTATAGTGTTAGAAATAAAAATATTATAAAGAGGAAAGATTTGTTTGTTTCATCATCATCATCATTTCAGCCATAGGACGTCCACTGCTGAACATAGGCCTCCCCCAATGCTTTCCATGTTGATCGATTGGTAGCGGCCTGCGTCCAGCGCTTCCCTGCTACCTTTACGATGTCGTCGGTCCACCTTGTAGGTGGACGTCCCACGCTGCGTTTTCCGGTACGCGGCCTCCATTCCAGAACCTTTCTGCCCCATCGGCCGTCAGTTCTGCGTACTATATGCCCTTCCCATTGCCACTTCGGCTTGCTAATCCGTCGGGCTATGTCAGCGACTTTGGTTCGTTTACGGATCTCCTCATTTCTGATTCGATCTCGCAAAGAAACACCGAGCATAGCCCTCTCCATAGCACGCTGTGCAACTTTGAGCTTCTGTATAAGGCCTATAGTGAGAAGCCACATTTCCAAGCCATAAGTTATCACTGGTAACACACAGGTGGTTTCTTTGTTTGTTTGTATTGAATAGACTCAGAGACTACTGGATCATTAGAATCCTACATCATTTGTAATGAACATAGGCAGTACAAAATTCAAAACTAAATTACAATATCAAATCTTAAAACCCATACTTACAGAGACAAACCAGTACGAGTTTTTCCTGAATATCAATCGTCCGATGAATCCCATATCGCTCTCCGGAGCAATAGAGTGCAGATGCAAGTGTTTGACGCTCCGGAACGGTGGCCAGTGGTAGCCGAGGCGTGCGTCTTGGAGAGACAGGTTGTTCTTTTGAAGTATATCTTGGGCTACCGTCAGCATGTGTTGAACTGGAATGTAGTAATTTAAATTAGATCTAATTGGGGGAGGCATATGTTTAGTAGTGGACGTCCTATGGCTGAAATGATGATGAACGATTTTGAGAGCTGTGTCTTTTAGAATACTGGTTCGGATACATCACAAGATTGATTTGGAAGTCTATTGATTTTTTTTTTCTATAAAAGTACACTTGAAAATTAACTGTATATTTATCAAAATCAAATCAAAATCAAAAAATATTTATTCAGTTTAGACCACAAGTGGCACTTATGAACGTCAATAGAAAATAATAAAAAAAGAAAAAGGTAGCCCTTATGGGGCACTTTACATGTCTCCTTATCTTTTGGGCCCTACCAGCGCTTCGAGACAAACATATGGCAAGTGCTGAGAAGAAACGCCGGAACAAACTCAGTCACCACCTAAGTTTTAAGTAAGTAAGTATACATACTTGTCACTTAAAAATGTATTTATTAATTTATTGGACTACCAACATGAAATACAGTAATAAACACAAAAAAAAGAAGCTTAGGTTTATTTTATTTATTTTTAAGTGATGTTGTTTGTAAGATTTTATACTTTGTCAGGAGTGGGGAGACAGAAAAAGTCGGGAGATTCCCGCCAAATCCTGACCATCTGGCAACCCTACCTAAAGATTAAAAAGTAGTTCGTATGTGCATGCCAGTAGAAAATTAGAAGAAAACCTTGTTGAATAATTATTGTAAAAATAGTAATCATGAACTTTACTTACAAAGCAATTAAAATTCAATTTTCTGATAACAGAACTGCAATGTAAATTCAATTGTAACATGCAAGTTTAAGGCACAATTTTGCTAGCAATTTATGAAGTTGGTCTCAGAATTCATGGTCAAGTTAACTCGAGTTTTAACGCGTTATTTTGAGTATTTATAGCAAATTATGAAAGTAAATCTCTTACCTAGTTCTTTATCTGACGAAACAAGGCTTTTGCAGTCTTCTATATGCCTTTTAGGCACAGTTAAAACGTGAAATTTGCTCGCAGGTTTTATATCTCTAAAAACACAGACTTGGTCATCTTCAAATAGGAGTTCCGTGTCATCTAATTTGTTAACTATATTGCAGAAAACACAGGCAGACTTTTCGGGTGGTGCACTAGCCATTTTAGCGGAAAAATTGTGAATAAATCGAGATTTTTTCGTAAAATCTGACGACGGGCGGTTCCAATTCACAGTTTTTGACAAATGACAGCTGTCACTGAAATAAGTTGCGTTCCGTTCATACCAAGTGCAACTGCGATAAATTATGAACTTTGGACATATATCCTTGAAACGCAAAATAAAGTATGAATGCATTTCGTATGATAATAGATTGTGTACGTGACTGAGTCTGCAACTAATGAATACGACAAACCAAGAGGATTTACAGTTTTGTGATACAGCACCCAAAAATAAAAAGATTTCACAACCGGAAATGGTAATGAATGGCCTTCGCCTGCTTTTTAGAAGTTTTTTTTTTACTTTTTTTACAGGCTTTTTAAATATTAACAGCTTTGCGTATTAGCAATTTAAGTATGTATTCTAATCAAATAATTAATTAGGAAAAACATTTTAGGTGTAAAATAATAATAAAAGTAAATTAACAACATGTAAAACTTTATTTATTTTTTAACAAATACCACAGATGATACCACACTGCCGACTTTCCCGCCAAATTTGAATTGAGGCGTTGGAAGAACTTTTTTCAAGATGAACTTTTCCGAAAAGTGATTCATTATTTCCTCCTCTGTCCAATTACAAGACGTAATAACAAATAAACCTGGAAATAAACAAGAAATATCAATACACTTTACAACATTTAATATTTTCATCATGCTATGTAATGTACAAAAAGTTTTAGGGGCTTTTTTTCTGGCATAATACATTGTTGTTTATGAATTTTAAACAATATAATTGTTTAATAGATCTATGATCCATAATAATGAGGATGTTCACATCCTCTACTTAAAAACTGCTGGATGGATTTTGATAAAAATAATTTTAGTTCAGCTACTTAATCTACATAGAAAGTTACAGGCAAAAGCATTATAAAGATTATAAATACATATAGATGAGAATGTTTCTAACATCCTCTCCTTAAATCTGCTGGATGGATTTTGATGAAAACAATGTTAGTTCAGCCATTTTAATCTACATACATCTACTTACATAAAATTTGTCGGCCGTTTGGTGTAGTGGTTCAGAACGGACTACTATGCCGAGAGGTCCCGGGTTCGATTCCCGGCCGGGCAGAAATTGAAATGATGAATTTTAATTTCTGTGACGGGTCTGGGTGTGACTATCCCAACTAATATTATAAATGCGAAAGTAACTCTGTCTGTCTGTCTGTCTGTCTGTCTGTCTGTCTGTTACGCTTTCCCGCTTAAACCTCGCAACCGATTTTGATGAAATTTGGCATAGAGATAGTTTGAGTCCCGGGAAAGAACATAGGATAGTTTTTATCCCGGTTTTTGAAACAGGGACGCGCGCGATAAAGTTTTTCTGTGACAGACAAAATTCCACGCGGGCGAAGCCGCGGGCGGAAAGCTAGTGTATAATATTTATGTATTTAAAAAAAAAAAGTATATAAGTAGTATATCCGTTAAGCTAGCACCCATAACACAAGCATTAAGTTGCTTACTTTGGGGCTAGCTGGCGCTGTGTGAAATTGTACAAATATTAAAAAAAAAAAAAAAAAAAAAAAATTACAGCAAAAGCTAGTGACTCCAAACAAATCCTACTAATATCCTACTTCCTACTAATATTATAAATGCGAAAGTTTGTGTGGATGTTTGTTACTTTTTCACGCAAAAACTACTGAACGGATTTTGATGAAACTACAGTGTTATTGATTAACCCGGAATAACATATAGGCTATAATTTATGACGATCTGTGACTAAATTTCACGCGGGTGAAGCCGCGGGCAAAAGCTAGTATAGTACATAAATAAATTACCCTGTTCTGAGAGCATATCAGCTACTTGCTGTATGTACTTCTGTCTGTGCTCTTTAGCGTTGTCTGGGTTGAGACTTATTGCATCGTATGTGCCTTTGTCATGGACTAAACCAAACTTCTTGCCTAAAGAGCTGACGGTAGTCTTTGTGATGTCAAATAGCTGAAAAAAAAAATTAAAATTCTTTACTGCTTTATAAGGCTGGGTTGCACTATCTTACTTTAACTTTAACAAACGCCAGTCTGTCAAACTCCATAAAAAAAGCACCAGTTATTCATTAGGCAACATTTGTTGATAAACTGTTTATGACTAAAGCCTGGTCCGTGAGCACGTAGAATTTTGTCCAATGACCCCAAGCTACCCATCCTTATCGCTCGCGCGTAATTATGTTGCTGTCGCGCTCGCATACTCACTGCGGGCGCCCGTCGCATAGTCGCGACAGCAATATAATTACGCGCGAGCGATAAGGATGGGTAGCTTGGGGTCATTGGACAAAATTCTACGTGCTCACGGACCAGGCTATAGTGTGAAACAAGTTTACCATAAACACAGGTTTCTGAAACTTGGCCGTCCACACTTGCTCTCCACTCATAGCATATTCATCACCTATGTTTATGGACTGTTTACAGAGATGATGAATCATTGTTTATGAACAGTTTATAAACAGTGTTTATCAACAAATGTTGCCTAATGAATAAATGGCTATACAGTTAAAAGATGGTGCAACTCAGCTTTAGTGTTGTACATACATAAATCAGTCCAAATTAAAAGACTTATAACTGTTTTATTTATTTCTCACAGTCCCTTCTTCCTTTATTTTATTTATATCAACAGTATTAGTTAAATTATGTGTTACCTTATAATCAATGAACGGGAACTCAGTTTTAGACACCTTCTCTGCAAGAGTGATAGCTTCAACACAGTAATCTACTCCCAGTAGGTTCGTGAATCCTTCTTTTGCCAGTTCTGTTAGTGTATATCCATTGCCACATCCTGAAATATTCAGTTAAAAGACTTTAAAATTGAACACTAAAGCCCGGTCTCTGAGTGTAGAATTTTGTCTAATGATCCCAAGCTACCCATCCTTATCGCTTGCGCGTAATTTGCTGTATGTCGCGCTCGCACACTCACTGCGGGCGCCCGTCGCACAGTCGCGACAGCAATATAATTACGCGCGAGCGATAAGGATGGGTAGCTTGGGGTCATTGGACAAAATTCTACATGCTCAGAGACCAGACTATAGCATAAATTTTAGTCTTTTCATGCCCTATTACTGTACTGATAAAGGTAGCAGGAAGGCGCTGGATGCAGGCCGCTACCAACCGTGCGATGTAGAAGTCATTGGGGGAGGCCTATGTTCAGCAGGGGACGTCCTGAGGCAGAAATGATGATGATGATGCCCTTTTTCTCACTCTTTAAAGGGTTAAGGTGTAGCAAAAGGGGTTCCACTTTCACTGAATTTTTACCTACACTTAGTGAAGCATAGGGGGTTCTAGATTTGGCTGAATTTTTGAGGCATTTTGTATGGAGTTGAAACTTGTAATATATTTCACTTTTTACTGCAAAAACATGACAAAAATGCGTAAAATATTGTTATGTACCTAAATCGATTATAGCCGTGTCTTTCTCGATTCCACTGTCGCATATCCAATTTATAACCCTGTCCGCGCTGTCCTCACCAAACCATACGTCTCCCGTGTCTCCATGGTCATCAAAGTTGGCTATTTCTTTCGTATACGCTTTCTGCCAGTATGAATGCGTACCCAACTCGGAAGAATCTAATTCTGTGTCTTCCATTATTGAGTTTTTGTAAAAAGTATTTAATTTGCAGGTTATAATGGGGTTTGCCTTATAACTTTATGTAAACGTTAACGAATATATGTTTTAAATTGAGGTATGTTATATGTACTATGTAAACTACGTCTAATGAGGTTGTTTTGGTTGAATTAAACCAAATAAATGAATAAAAATACCAAAACACCGATTCATATGTTTGACATTACGTTTAGTTTCAAGATCTTGAAATAATGAATGAGATGACATTTCTTAGTATTTTACAATAATGTGTATTACTAACTATAGTATTTTACTAAACTCAAGGACTGACTGTGGAATGAATTCTGTACATAATATAGAATTTAGTAGGTCAATCGAAAACCAAATTACTCTTCTTCTTGACTAAGAATGGAACGATGAAACCATACAACGAAACGCTTTGACATTGACAGTGTGAAGACAGCTGATACTAAAGTTGCCAGCACAGAACAATAACTTCTATTTTCATAGAAATTAGTGGATACTGGGACTGGGTATAATAAAATTAAAAGATAAAAGATCCAAAATGCATGCAAAATGATTTTTTTACGAAGTGGTATAAGGGTCGTCCGTCAGATAATTGCATACAAACATAAAAATAACATTCAGTTAGACTAAATTTATTAGTGAAAGTGCATTTTAAAAGTAAGGTCGATTAAACCGACTTGCGTTAGTTATGCGAAAGACAAACGAAATTGATTGAGAAAAAAACTGTGCCTTAACTTTTCATGGTAGTTTTTGCTGCCAGGTAGAAAAAGTTTGGGTTACACTTGCAACATTTTACAGCTGTCAAAAATTCTACCATAGTCGTGTTCTTTCCTCTAGAAAAATATTTAGATTGATAAAATTGTTCAAAACACTGCTGCCTCTGCTAATTTACACTATAAAATTAATGTAGAAAAACAAACTAAATGACATCATCTCACCTGACGAGCTGTCATTTTCGCACCCGACAAGAACACACCGGTCATATCTGTCAAGTAGGTTGAAATTCGCATTTGACTACTTTGCGGAATCTTGTGTCCATTTTCGTTCAATTTAACTGTACTACACTCCAATTAAAATCATGTGACAGAGTGCACGGCCTAAAAAATACATTTTATGAATGAAAATAGCGTTCCTATATTTTTTTCTGTAGAATATTCGTCGAATCGGGGACGAACCATCAATCAATACCTTGCCGTCATCTTTTTAGCTAATTTATTATACAAACGTAAAACTGTGTCAATAATCCAGTTTCGCATAATAGCATTGGTGTTTTTATACAAAACTAAGACTTAATATTGTGTTTTGGTGAATATAGAAAGAGTGTACCAGCCGATATATTTTTTTACGTAACCAAAACAAGTTTACGTTGTGCTGACCGCATTTTATCCGAGGGAAAGTGTTTTTCTGGTGAGTAATCTTGTTAATTTAGCATAAATCATTGTTATTACGTGATATTATCTTTCCGTTGCCTTTCCGCAACGCTGCGTCGCATATTTATCAACTTTAAAATTAAATAAACAAATGTACGCACATGCATGCGCAGCTTTTGCGACCTGCGACACAAGTTTTTTTTAATGAAAATAATTTATGCAAAGGCATAATCAAACTCACAGCGCGTAGCATATTTTATGTAAATTATAAAGTAAAATCTAGAAGCTGTATGCCCATATTCCTAGGTCTATCATAGGTACACCTGTTTGACCTAACAGTACTAGGTATCTTCATTTTAAAGCTTGCTATTTGCTTGCTTGCTAAGCTATTTTTATACCTACAAAAAATTTGTTACCTAGTTGACAGAAGTAGAATGTTTTTTTTTATTTAATTTATAGTTTTTAGGAAACTTAGAGGCAAAAATAGGCAAGTAAATAAAATAACAAGGTCAAATATACATTTCCAGTCATCAATAAGTTATTTTAAAAACTTTTTTTGCCCATACAAGACAAAAGACATCCAAAATTACCTATTCATATTTTTTAACTTCACTTTATTTTTTTTTTATTTTTGAACACTTGTAAAAGTGATTAATTCATATTAATTTTAATACAATGAATGTTTTTATCTAGTCACTATGGTAACATAGTTTAATAACTAGTTATTAGTTTGAACTAAACATAATAATGTGAGAGCTTGCCCTTTAGAAGTTACTCAAGCGTTGAACCATGAGTTTCATGCATAAATACTTTATACATTACAATAAATTAGATTTTTCCCATGATACATTATCTAGAAATTGGTAAAATTATTGTCCATGAGTCCTTTAAATTTTCTTCAACTACTTTTTATGGGACACCAAACTTTCAGACTTTATTTCTGAACATACTACTATTTTTGCCTAGTTACTGTTTCCCATTTAATTTCATTTATTTTATACAAAAATTGAAACTTGTCAATAAGACTATAATTTAGATAAAAAGTCTAAGTTATAATATTGGAGAAAAAAAAAATACTATCTATTTTCGTAGTTTACTTGTGATTTTAGGTAAACTCACATAAAGTAAAGAATAAGTACTCAAAAGTACTGAAACTCAGCTTAATTTTGGTTGGAGTATAGGAAACGGGGCGCTATGGGGCACGAGACTTAGAAAAAATTTTATGAAAAAAAATTTTTTTTTGAATTTTTGGCTTTTTTTGCCGGGAATGTTTAGAATAGATAAAAATAAGACTAATCTTCAGATAACTTTTTTTTCTAGGACCAACCGTTAACTTTCTAGAGCCAATTAAAAGTGCGCTATCAACACTTAGAATAATTTCGACGAGTTTTTTTTTTCTTCAATTATTCCTTGTTTTCTTGCAAGAATCGCATAGAAGACGTAAAACAAAGCACAAAAGCTTATATGGTCTACCTCTCTAAAACAAACGCTTTCAGATTTAGAGCCAATTAAAGGTGGCTTCCGACACTTAGAATAATTTCGATCAAAAAATTTTTTCCCGAAAGTGGCGATTCTTTTGATGCCATCATGTAGGGTTCCCGAAAGTGGCGATTCTTTTGATGCCATCATGTAGGGGACCTCAAACCAAGAAAAAAAGGTCATGTACTTCATCCCCGTAGGACCAACCCCCGACCCTCTAGAAGCGATTCAAGTTTTACGGTTTTTCCAAAAAGTTCTAATTTTCGCAAATCTATGCTGTCATCGTCTAGAGGATGTCGAACCAAGGAGAAAAGGTCATGTAGCCCACCCCCGTAGGACCAACCCCCTCCCGTTTAGAGACGATATTATTACCACCTAGGTAGGTAGGTAGGGTCATTGCGCTGGTTTTCCGTCCAGCTCCTGTTTTCGTCCATTTGACCGAGTTGCCACAAACAAGTACGTAAAATTTGAATACAAAGCTACCTTTCCGTGCAAGTTTGAACTTGTTGCAATCTATAATATCTAAGCAACAGTTCTACCTACATACAAATGTAATTTGACAAGTAGTGACTCCAAAAAACCCTACATAAGTTGTTGCTGGATACAGGTAGGGCAGGTGACCCGGTTTTGGCCATTTTAAGAATTTTTTAGACTGAGGCTATGTCATTTTACAGTTTTTGTTATCACGGACTTATTTCTTGTAAAAAGTGATTAAATATGTTTAGATCTAGCCTAAGGATACATTTTTTTTTCATAATGATTCAATGGAAAAATAATTCTGTAGAAAAGAAAAAGAAATGGGAATTTGTGCCATTTTTGGCCAGCTTTACCCCATTTCTGGCCACAGTCATGTGCCAGTTCTGGCCATCAAAATTCATAAAAAAAAAAAACAAAAACTACTCGACGGATTTTAACGAAACTTGGTACAATTATTTTTCATACTCCTGGGCAGGTTATAGTATACTTAGGAATTCTCACGGGAACAGGAATTAGCGGGAAAATCCTTTTGTATGAAAAATCTAAACCGCTTAAGTTAGACGCTTGAAATTTGGCATGTAGGTACCTTAGTAAACTTAAAGCTTAGTTACAACAAGGAATTCCCGAAATTCCCACAGGAACGGGAATTAACGGGAAAATCCTTTTGTATGAAAAATCTAAACTGCTTAAGTTAGACGCTTGAAATTTGGTATGTAGGTACCTTAATAAACTCAAAGCTTAGTTACAACAAGGAATTCCCGAAATTCCCATGGGAACGGGAATTCGCGGGAAAATCCTTTTGTATGAAAAATCTAAACTGCTTAAGTTAGACGCTTGAAATTTGGTATGTAGGTACCTTAGTAAACTTAAAGCTTAGTTACAAGGAATTCCCAAAATTCCCACGGGAACGGGAATTCGCGGGAAAATCCTATTGTATGAAAAATCTAAACCGCTTAAGTTAGACGCTTGAAATTTTGCATGCAGGTACCTTAGTAAACTTAAAGCTTAGTTACAACAGGAAATGGTAAAATTCCCACGGGAACGGGAGTTAGCGGGAAAAAACATTTGTACGAAAAAATCTAAACCGCGTAAGATAGATGAAGGGGGTAACACGGGATCCACGCGTACGAAGTCGTGGGCGGCCGCTAGTATGAGATATAATCAACATTAACCTATGGTATAAGTTTATGCGGTTAGTACTGGAACAATTTTCTTTTCACAACACCGATTTTTTTAGTATTTGGTTTAGAGGTGGGCGCCACGCCGGCGCGCCGCCGCCGCCGCGAATTTTTTCACGCCGCCGCCGCCGACGACCAGCTGTCGGCGCGCCGATACTGATACTGTACCAACTATTTGCAATTTATTCCTCTCCTATACTGTACTTTCTGAATTTGTGTTTCGAACGCAGAACTAACTTTAATGTTTATTCTTTAATGCCATATAAATTGGTACACAAGGCGAACTTAATACCGTTGATATACTAATAAATTGATTAAATAACTTAATACTATCTATATTAACAGTTAATCCAGTACATTTTTCAAGTTGCTGCTTGTTCTAGTAAATAATTGATCGCGAGAGGCGCCGGTCCCTCTTGCTGTCAAGAAAAAAATCGTCGTCTTCGTCTGGCAGACAACCCACACTATTGGATTATACTTTAAGCGAATAACTCACACAGAGATTGGCAAATATGTCTCGGAATGCAAATAAGAACCACAACCTCTGGAAGGCAACAAAGTACCTCCCTCAGTGTTCTCCGCCTATTAACTCCGGTAATACATGAGTGCGAACTGACGAGAAAAATCTCAGACCTTTGCTATATGACAAGCCGGTTTATTTAAACCTGACGACACGGATAATCTAAAAAATCCACAGTTCAATCCA